TTTCAGATCTGTAGCCTTTCTTAAGCATCACATGGGAGAGGATTCTTAAGGCTGTGCAAAACAACTGTGCAGTAAATAAATCAAAGGCTCTGCACTTGTTGCAGAACAGCGCACATGTTCTATGGTGCGGGTGCTGAAAGACATGGCACTTTCTGCGGCGTGCCTAAGGGAACAGCTGACTTCATTATTTAGATTCTGAGGAGGAGTTTCTGAATCCGTAATCAAGCAAATCGCTTCCGAGATTATTCATCACTTTGGGTACTGAACAGAAACAAAAATTTAAAAAGTGGAGAGCTTTTATTGTGTTTATCTTAATAAATCCTTAAACAGTGACAAATTTATAAGTTAGAAATCGGTGGCAAGGTAAGTTGCATTTTTCTTTTTATTTCTCTGTAACAGTGTTTTGTGTTCAGAAGTAATTACTCGGCACCCATAGTTTGAGGTTAAATATCCTTTTTATATGTCAAGTTGTATAAAACTGCAGTTGGGAGTTCTCTATCTTAAGCTGTCCTTTTTGGCACTGCAGTAACTGTGCAGGTGCAGAGGTCAGTGCATGTGTAAAATAAACCAAGCTTCACCATCTCATTTCCAGCTACGAGACGTGCCAAGTCTGAGGTACACGTGGGACATACATGGATATTTACTTTACGAGGGCGAGGCAGGATCACCACTTTCTCTAGTGCTAACTAGCATTTTTATTCTTGGGAGAAGTATTTGATTTTTTTTTTTTTGTAATTCATCTGTAGCTCTTAAACTGTTGCTGTTTTTCTTTTAACAGAAATTAAAATTTCTGTTTCCCTCCGACATCTCTTTTTCAGTTTTTTGCCTAGTAAACTTTCAGTAAGTCTGTTGTATCCTCTCATTGTCTTCCGTATTCTGTTTATCTCTTCCCTCCGTTGTTCGAATGTCTATAAAATTGTCAAGTTAGTGGGGATTCAGTTGTGCACGTGATACGTGAAGTGTGTCATCTTTCCTAGGAGCTCTGTTGTTTTGGAGTTTGCTTCACGTTAGCGTTGGTATTCCTTGCAGGAAGCCTTCAATTTGTGTGGATGGAGCACCACATTCTGCACAGATCTGTAATATGGACAAGCTCAGTGATGTGACAGAGTGTGTAGGATTTCATTCAAAATGCTCTCCCTTGCTTTGGTTTTGAAGGAGTTAAAATAATATTTACGGTAAGCCAGGAAATTTACTTAGGCTTTTGTTGTTCTTGGTTTTGGGTGTTTGACACAAATGAATTTGTGCAAGTTTTCCTTTCATGAGTTTTACGGGATATTATATGGCATTATTAAACGAGTCAGCAGCTTGTGTTTTAAGAGTTGCAAAAACGAGTATATTATCCGTTGGCTTGGGAGGTAGGTGTGGAGTCTGATGGCTCCATGTTTCTCCTGCCTTTAGAACACTAACTCAGGTGAACAGGGAACGTGCATCTTTTCTACATGTCCGTGGTCTACTGAGGCACTGAACTTTGTTGTTCTGTTTGTTGTCCGTGTCCATGTGTGGCTCTGGAGCCTATCCTTCTTGTGGTGGTGGTTTAGTTCTGCCCTGGTGTAAGCGCAAACAGCGAGTTTTATCACCGTGCTTTATTTAGCATGCATGTTTGCTAGCACATGCTCCACGCAGTGGTGTGTACCAGGGGAGAGCCTCATGTGAACATACTGCAGCTTCTCAGAAGGCGTGAGGAAAGCCTGTTTCAGAGGCCTTCTGGCTGCACCAGAGGAAATGTAAATATCTCTGCAGGAGAGGAATGGTGGCCAAGAGCGAGATGAGAAGGGAGCAGTTGGTAGCCAGCTGTTTCCTACATGCATCGTTTTGTCTCACCTGGTTGTTTAATACAGCCTGTATTGGAGGTGACGCCACTGTTCATCAATTCTTTCAGGCCGTGTTTTTATCGACCTCTGTTCCTCCTCTTGGGTACAGGATTTTAGGAAGGGGAGGGGTGCACATCACTGTTGGCTGGATGAGGAAGGATCAGAGGTGCTGAGCAGTTGGACTGGCTCCATTTCTTCCTCACTTCTCCCACCCTTGAAATAAGTTTGATTCCTTTGGAGTCTGTGGTTTACTGCTCTGCACTCCTTTGCTCAGGCTGTGGCCCTCAGAAAAATCTGAGCGTAACAAAGTGAAAAAGTTTGCAGCTCCAGGAATTGCTTGGGAGAGACCCATTGACAAGACCGTTCACAGTAAGATAAATAGGTAGGTCCCGTTGCCTGTGCTTGCTCTCGTCTGGTGCTCCTAGGGCACACTAACACTGGACCATCCCTTGGTATGGATGGCCAAAATTTATGTTTAAAGTAGGGCTGTCCAAATAACAAATGCTTGTTTGTTTTGCAGGGAAGGAGGGAAATGAGGAAAAGTTTTGTTCTGTGTCTCCAAAGGTGATCTCAAATCTAAGGTCACATTTTATCAAAACAGATAGGCAGTACTCCAGATGCATCCTAAGCAAGCAAAGTACCTAATTCTGTACGTAAGCGCTTTCTTCAAATTTGTTCTCTGTTTTTTCAAACTGATCTGGAAGTGTTTTAGTTCCTGAAAAAGGTTTTTTATCCCTCATGTTTGCATTTTTAAGGGTATCTTTAAAGGCACCCACCTCTGAAGCATCTGTCTTCCTTCGGAGCTGGTACTGTCAGGTTCCTAAGCAGCACTGAAGATACATCTAGGCACACAGGCTGTGTTGACCTCCAGTGCAGAGGAACAGTCATCTATGCTAACCACGTTTCAGGGTTTTTTTTCTTGGGACTGGCTTCAATATGGTCCTGTGGACTGAACTCCCATTGGTAGCTGAAGTGTGTCTTCTGGTGTCATTTCATCTGAAAGGGACCTGCGTCACGCCGTTTCCAACTGCCCTGCCAGGTTATACCAGAATGCAGTAAATGGAGGTGCTCGGGGATGACTGTTTCTAAAGCAAGCTCCAAATGACAGAGCAAATCATTCGTATCATTGCTTCTCTGCTAATAGCTAATACTTGCTGAAATCTTCAGTTCTGTGTCTTTGAAAAGAAATTTTTGTTTGGACAGCCAGATGGGAGTTATAACACTACGCTCAGAAATTAGGAGCTTGAAAATGTGTTTTTCCTGAAATGGGATTTGCCTTGTACAGAAGGTTACAAATAGGAGCCTTAAATGCTAGGGATTCTGATTTTTGTGTGCAAATGTCCCTTTGCATAGTTAATAATCTGAAAAGTTGTCAGAGTACCTGCGTTATTTAAGCACAAAGGCCATAAAGCACCAGATATAACTGAGCATAATTCAGCAGTGATTTCAGGCCATTTTTGACACTGATACAAGATAATCTTGTTAGAATAAAACTAGAGCGATTGGTGTTTTGGTGAGAGCATTGCTACGTACCCTCCCGTTGCGTCACCGGTTATTGTGAAGATGCCATTGTGCAATTCAGCATCCTGGGCAAGGTAGAGAATTTCAGCATTTCACCTGCCCCAGAAACTTTCCATGCTGAAATATTGCTTAGCACGGCTCATCTTCCTGAGCAAAGACTGCACACATGCACCTTACACAACACCGGACGTGTTCCTTCAATTAGCGTTTGTGCAGATCTGTAGCTATTTTGAGAGGAAAGATGTGGGTTAAGGTGGAAAGAGATTGAAGGAGGCAAAAGGATTGTGGGAAATGAGAAAAGGAGAAGGACTTTTCCCTCTGCTGGGGAGAAGTGCCTCTGTAGTCACACTGTCCTGACCCTTCAAAATCCTTTGAGCTGTGGTCTCCTGCTAGCAGCAGGCTTAACATTTTTACAGGTGTTTATTTCCTTCCCTCCCTTTCTCAGCTTTCTCCTCCCCCAGTTCTGGGTTAGAATAAAAATCTGTATAATTCTTTTGCGATGCAGCCTGGGACTGCTTTGGCAGTAGTACCTGATCGTTTTGTTTTTTTTTTTTTTTTCCCAGAGGAAGCCTGTCTGACTCTGAATGATGTTCTGATTGTCCTCAAAGCAAAAGATTTCAGAATTTCACCTAATCTTGAAATAGGATCCATTTGCTCTGACTGGAGCTTTCTGCAGCAGTGAGGTTACAAAAGTCTGGTTGTCCCGTCCTTTGATACTGGCCAGGATCTGAGCACTCGGTGGTATAATATGCTCCCACACTCAAGCAGATCCATGAAGTGAAGGAAAGCGGTGTTTAACAAAGCTGATTATTTTCTTATGATAGCTAATTGTTATTTTAGACTTATCTCCCCTCTAGCTGTGGTACTGCAAATAGATTTAAATACCGCCTGTGTGTTCATCCCTCATAATGAGAGTTATCCTTCACAGATGGCTATATGCATGAATATTTGTCTGCATATACTGATTGTTAATGAATCAACTTAATGACTTTTACAGTTCCTGATCAGTATTGAAAATATTTTTTTTTCCCTATACAGTATACAACTGCCTCCCACATACAGTCCTGTGTAGTATTTTAGTACCTTCATCCAGGTGCTTCAGGTGTGCATGAGGAAGAAGGGAAGTAGCATGAGAATTTGGAGACGTAGTCTGCTCTCAGAGCTCCATCAAGATGATTTTATTGTAGCACCTGAAATGAAGGCTCAGGTCAAAGACTCGCATATTGCTAAGAGATAGGAGCCTAAAATTAGGCATGTGGAGCATTGTGAGAGTACATGAATGCCTCATTTATACATCACTGTACAATTACAGTATCTAGATACGCAATCTCTGTTGGTTTTTATACAATTAGGAAAGGTGCCAAAATGATTCCTATTTATATAGCTGACTTGAAATCTGAAACAGTGAGACTGAAGTCCTGATCTCAGATTGTCTAGAAGACAACAAAGTAGCTGGTAAAACCTGGTAGTGGAAGATAGTACTTGGTCACAAGACAGGTCATCTGCTCGTTGATCTGAAGTGTTATTATATTTAATTATAGATTCTTGGCACTGTGGGACACGTTGCAGCTGTTTTGACTCTGACTGAACGGTCTTTCCTGCCTCACTTTCGTGGTTTTGGTGATACTGGGCCAGTCTGCAGTGTTCTAGGAGCATTGGTTTGAGAACATGGGATCTGGTAGTTCTGTAAATGCCAACTACAAGTACTCCCTGCAGAAGTCTGAAAACGGTGAGTGATTCTTTGAAAAGTAATTGTTTCCTGTGTGCTCCTGCACATGCCGTTGGGAGGTTGCAGTGGGTGTGTTTCTTTTTGGAGTTACCTGGTTTTCTTGATACGATTGAGGCGAGGTTATATCTTTCAGTATCCTGTGACAAGAGGTCTCAGCTGTCACGCAGAAGACCAACAGGCTTGAGAAAATAACAGCTATTTAGACCAGGATTAGATTAAAATCAACCAAAACCTGACCAGAAATGAAGCAGCAAAAAGCAATTCTGTTAGTATTAACATTTGATGGATTAATCAATTGCTGGCTAATGCGTGTGCTGCCATGTGCTGACAGCGAGACAGACGGTACCACCCTGCTGCTTTTGGTGGACTCAGTTTCTAAAGACTGTGTTAGTGGTGCAGGACTGATAAAGCAGAAGCATTAGCACAGCCAAGATAAATCTGGATCTAAAGAAGGTAAGATGGTGTGGCTAAGAAAAGCTGAAAAGCAAAAAGTACTTTTTTTTCTAATTACATCAGCACAATGCTCTTCATCTCTGCTAATAACTTAGACTTGTTTGTGGCTCTCAAAGCTGTACTGATTTCTTTTTATGAAGCCCTCTGTATGATAGTATCAATTTTCTGGGTGTGTGCTTAGGTCTGCTATGGACCAAAGGGAGTTTATGAGGGAGACTTTACACATAAGGAAGTGTAAAAAAGTAAACAGATTACTCTGTTGTTTGAATCATTCAGTCATCAGCATTGGCAGAATAGCAGTATGGTGCAAACTATTTGTGATTGCATTTAGAAATGAAAAATAGTGATTGCATTTAGAAATGAAGAAAGCGGGGATACTGTTGTGACAGTCTTTTTTGTTTGTAATTTTTCTGTGTTGCAAAACTCCACCTTTTATTTAAGTAAGATAGACTTGTCTATTGCCTATAGTACCAGAGAACCATGGACTTTCCCAACAAGTTCAGGGCTATTTTATGATAATGGCTTGTCTATAATAAAGAAAGTGTAACATAAACCTAGTTACTTTTTTGAATCTCTGCATTAGATTCAATACCTCATTAACAGTTTCCCACGGCAGTAAAACCTCTCTGAATTTCTTGCATCTGGTTCTCAAAATCCTTTAGATCTGGTGATCAGCAGATGTGGAGCTGCTTAGGACTTTCCACCCAAGTACAGTGTGCGAGGTGTCGTGTCCCCCTCGTACAAGGCCCAGAGGCTGTTCCCAGTGGCAAGTATAGCCAGCAGAGCTCTGTTAAACTGGCCCTGCCCTTGAGTGAAGAAGGGGATGGGGAACCCAAGAGAGGGTGCAGGCTCCCTCCTGTAAGCTGATGTGTGAACTATACTGCTAGCATGAACAGGCATATTTTAGTTCGAGTGCTGCCACTTTGGCATGCTTTCAGTAGCTTATATGATGATGTATGACTCGGTTTCCTGCTTGGAGCCTCATAAAATGTGGATAAATCTCTTTCTCTTCCTTTTTTATTATTTTTTTTTTCTAAACTAGTACAAACACTGCCAGATGAAACTCACTCAGGTAAGCTGGTAAATTAGAATACCTGGCTTTTTCAGTTGCAGAGTCAGTCTCTGTAAAAGTAGCATAAAAACCCAATGCCTTGCCTATCTGGAGCTTAAAACGCTATGGATGGTGGTATATATGCTCACTGTGCGCTTGACGATGAGTCTTTCATGGATTTTATTTTTAATGTTTCAAAGGATCTGGTTTTCACTGGTATCTGTGGAGTCATAACTATGAATTTCTGCTTGGGATTCAGTTGAAATACATCTGACTCCTACCGCAGTAATGAGCATTTATCCACCGTTAGGGGAATGCAAGATATTTAGAATTTGTTTTATTTGAGAGAGTGATTTTGACTGCGATTCTGGTTACATGCCAGCCAAATTACTGTACAGGGAGTAAGGCAGCTAGTGTTGGGTCTGTTACAAAGGAGACTTGAAGAGGTAGCATCAGGAGCACCAAACTGCAGAAAAAAACCTCAGCCTTTTCTATTTTTTCATAGCCCAGCATATCAGTAAGCATTTTCTCAACAAGACATAAGGCTCAAGCAAGGAATACATAAGTTATTCTTGAATTAAGGCTAGCCAAGTCTTACCTTCTTGCCCATGACTTCACTGTGACTCGGTTCTTGAGCTGCACAACAGCAACAGCTCTTCCCTTTTTGCGTTCTGCAGCTCCTAGTGCTGTAACAGTAATATAATTTAGAAGGATTATTATTTTCAATGCATAAGCTATCAGGATATCTTATTTAGGTAAAGGTCAATGTTTCCTGCTGAAGTACATGGAGGGTGGTTTATGTTATATAATTAATGCAAGCTGATTGAATTAATGTGATCTCTTCGTCTCTTTCCAGCACTTTGGGGTAGGGGTGGGGTATTCCTTCTTTTTAATCAAGTTTTTCCACGCACCGCTCATTGCTGTCCCTGCTTTGGCGAACACAGCAGTGTTCTCTCACAAACCAGATGCCAAGGGAATACAAGCTTCTGACGCTGGGTTAACTCTGTAACTCTGTTGTCTCCATTTGATTTTGGGGCCAGCCTGTAGACAGAGCAGTCATCCCTTCCTCCCTCAGCTAAAAAGGACACAGAGAGGCTTTGTTAGAAAATGTTTTAACCGTAGGGCTCTAGGGTGGGGCTCCAGAAATGAACAGGAAGGGACACAGAGCATAATGAAAAGAGAGATGCCAAGTAGCAGAGCAGGCTGGCAAGGTGCTGTAAAGTAACCAGGCAGTCCAAAAGGTCAAGACCAGCTAAGGAGGATGGAAGAGTTTCTAGAGGTACCTAAAGTTCTGTGGCAGAACTTGAAAAAGGAAACGGGAAACTGCAGCAATGTACTTCACTTTAGATAGGCACACACCCCATCTGAAATAATCTTTTAATGAAAAACACTGGAATTGGGGAAACACAGAGGAAAAAATTTGGAGGAAAACGCGTAGTGCCAGTGCTGGCTGTGGACTGAACCAAGACCAGCCACCTGGAAATTCCTGGCATTTTGTTCCTTCTCCGTCATTAAGTGGCCAAAGATCTGTCTCCCTCTTTTCACTGTGGGGGTTAATTGTGTCTTTATTTTATTCCAAGGTGATGGTATGTTAGCATTTATGCTAGAATAAATCTCTTCTGAAGTTTGTCCAGAACTGCAAGAGCCGAGGTATTTGTTCAGCCTAAAGGAAGGTAGACAAACCCAATATTTTTAAGACTCCGAAAGGGGACTCAGTGTCTTTTTTTCCCCCAGCTCTTTGTGTGGCCTCAGTCAGATCTCTGGTTTCCTGAAGCCCAAGTACCTAGACTGTAAGATGGACATGAAAATGATCAAGGTAGATAGAAAGGGAGGAAATTGTCTATTAATACTGAAGAACATGTTTGGATCCTTAGGCCCTAATAAATTCGTGCTAACGCTGGTGCTGAGAAGCCAGCAGCGATGGTTAGAAGCGCTTCAGAGGTCTCTGGTCAGGCAGGGTCAGATCAGCCTCTTGCAATATGGTGAAAAGAAGTGGGTGTTTTGTTATCCTTAGTATTTAGGCATCAGAACACCCTTCCTGAAAACTTGCTCCTGAAAAAGGTCCCTCTTCAATTTTCAGCGTCGGGACAGGAGCGGTAGCAGGGTACCTCAGCTGCACCCACTGCAGCTCAGCAGGTTGGTTCTGTTTTTGTCCCCTAGCTTTCAAGGCAGCCGTCTTGATCCAACGGTGGTATCGGCGCTACGTTGCTCGGCTGGAAATGCGCCGACGTTGCACCTGGAGAATCTTTCAATCCATTGAGTACGCTTGTGAGCAGGATCAGATCAAGGTAGGATGCCAAGGAAAAGAGTAGGTAGGAAAATACGCGGGAGGGTGGTTTCTGTGCCACAAACTCACTTGTTCTGACTACTGTCTGGTAACCCTGTAGGTACTTCAGTGGGCCAAGGACTGGGTTTCCTGCCCCTCTTTAGCCTATTGGTTTCCTGCCTGCTTATGTGTGATAAAACCCTAGGTAATGAGTCTTGAAAGAAAGTCATAGACTATTTAATATTGTTTTTTCTGAGTCTGAACACAACAGACAAGGCTAGTTGGTTTGTTATACTTTAACCTTGATTAGTGTTCTCTTACATGGTTACCTTGCTGTCGTGCGGGGGGAGGGAGGGCTTATAGGTGTGCTTCTGTCGATATGGCTGAAGGTAAAGCTACTTCTTTGTCTTCATCACGAGATATTAAAAACTAGAATTGGTATAGTATGATTTGTTGAACATACCAGACAACATGAGAAGGGCATAGATAATACTTCCAGAAAGATTATGTTAAGCTGCCACTCTGCAGAATTTCATTCCAGGATGAATGATGATGAGCTCGCTCTCTTCTTGCAGCTTCACAACTTCTTCAGTTACCTCATGGACCACTTCACTCCAAGCAGCAGTAAAGAGAGTAAGTTTCTACGTGCCGTTTGTGGATGTGGCACCAGCAGCTCAGAAGGTTGCACCCTGTATTGATTCATTGCCCAATGCTGGCTCTTCAGGATGGCAGAGGGGACCAAGAGAGTCTAAAGAGCGATGGCCTTGGGAATGTGGATAAGGAGTGAATTGTCTGGAGAATGTCAGAGCTGTGTGAGGGATGTGGGGCAATTCCTGCTCCTTAGGAGCTGGAAGGGGGAATAAAAGCCCAGTATGTTTTCTAAGAGGAGCAATATTAGAAATCTGCCTTTTTTCAGTGATCCCTGGTAACCAGGGCTTTGCAGAGTCCATTTCTGAAGCAAATTTTAGGGAGCTGTGCTCTAGGGTATCTACTTGATATTTAGTCTCTCGCTTATAATTGGGGCGGGGCGGGGGATAAGTGCTGTGGGAACCAATACAGTATCTTCCTGAATCTGCAGAGAGCATTATATGTTATTTCTTAGTGCTGGGAACTTGCTAATGAGCTTAGCTCTGAAATCTGACGGTAGTAAGTAAAAATGAACTGTTTACTTTGCTGACCATAACCTGCTGAAGTGCTCGCTCCTTCCTTTCAAACTGCCACCCTTTTTCTCACCACCACCCCACATATTTTACAGCAAAGCTCTGTTGAAGATAATTTTTTTTCAGTGTCTGTAAAACAGGACAATAATGTCCTGTTCCCTGAGTTGGGCTCCGAGATGTTAAGGCAATAAAATAAAAGCGCATATTTATACAAATTTTGTGCAACACTGAGAATGTAGGTGCAAGCTTAGAAAAAACAGTGGGATGTAGGAGACAGCTCCTTATTATACAGTTTGCTTTTGCATGTCATTGAAAATAAGATTTCAGTTAGCCATGGCAGCCAACGTCCATCTGGCTCTACCAGTTTTGCAGAAACCAGTGTAGCTGCCAGCACTGCCCGACACATAGCACACAGAAACTTGTCCCTGCAGCCTTCTCCCCACCGCAAATGCTGTAGCGGTGTGGGAGCAGGAGCTAGCCTCCGCCGCTGCCATTGCTCATGAGCTCCAACCTAACCAAACAGCTTTTCTTTAGCAAATTACTAGAATGGTGTATTGAGCCAATGTAACTTTTTCTTGTCTCTTTCTCTTTTTTAAAAAACAATCAAACTGACCAATCTGCCATCCAGGGGATTTTATCAGTCGCATGTTCATAAGTGGGGAAAGCTTCAAAGAGGCAGAGCTGGAAAAATACTGTGACTACGAATCCATGGAGGTGCCAGACTCCTACACTGGACCCCGTCTCTCTTTCCCACTCCTTCCTGACCATGCAACTGCCTTGCTGGAAGCTTTCAAACAGAAACAAGTAAGGATCCCCAAAAGAACCGTGCTTTCCCCTTCTCTGCACAGGGGTGTAGGATAAATAATTTGGTTTTAGCTGTCCTAACAAGCTAAGCTGATTGGAGTGTAATGAGCTGGCAGGCTGTTAAGCAAAGGGGGATGGAAATGATACGGTATTTCCACCTGCCATAGGAACTTTTTTTCCTTTCTGAAAATGCGGTTCTGACAAAACTGAAAACTTTTCGTAGGTGTGCGCCAATTTTAACCTGAATTTCATTTTAAAAGGAAAAAACCCCACCACAGTCCATGTTGAAACATTCTGTCATTTTTTGTTGCAATTCCTCAATTTCTAAAAAAGTATAGGATGGCCCAGATGGAAACAGCAGATTAAAATTATGTTTTGTGCCATGCAACTTTGACTCATATTTAAAACATAAAATGTGAGGTTTTTGATGAGGAAGTCCAGTACCAATTCAGCAGCACTAACAAGACAAATCCTCATACAATTACAGTGTTCTGCTGCCATCCCTCAGTCAAGGTGCTGGACTGCAAAACAGGCCAAAACATCCCTTCTCCAAACAAAATGACTTCTAAGACAAAGGTCTCTAGTGTCTTGACTAACGTTAAATGCCTTCACCCTGGCTTTGAGCAAACATATTTGTGCAGGACGCATGGCAGCTCACAGCCTGGTTTAATGTGGAAAAGGCTAAGAAAGATCTAGAGGAGCAGCTTCTTACCTGTGATACTGGGCTGGAATTTCTGCTGCTGTGGGGGTGGTGGTACCTAGCAGGTATCACCCTGATCACAGGGTGCTAGGGCTTTTGGGTTCTCTTGCCAGCCCTGCCAGCGCCAGGGCTGGGCTGCTTTGCGCAAATCTCTTCTGTCCTGCTGTTTCCCAGTATTTGCCTTGTCTTGTTTGTAAGCCCGCAGGTCAGCGCTGAGTGTCGTCCCAGTGAGAGTTTCTGCCACCCAGGCTATCGTGGTGGGGCCTCTGCAGACAGAGCTGCGCTGCTGCTCAGAGGTCACTGATTTCTTGCTTTAATACCTTCGCTTTCTCCTAGTAGCAGCTCCACGCTCGCTATGTCTTAAACCTTCTGCATGAGACCAGGAAGCACCTCAAGCAGCTGCCAAACATCAGTCACGTCTCCACCTGCTATAGCGAGGAGGTCACCGTGTGCGGTACGTCTGGGTGGGAAGGCACTGCGCAGTCTCTGGGGCAGAACGCTCAGGTGGAAGGGGTGGGAAAGACACAAAATGGCAGCGTGAGCATGATGTCCTCCTCTGTACTGAGTGTGGAACACACATGCAGTCTGTAAGCAGAATGTGTGTTGTATTGAGAGGCAGTCAGGTCTGTCTAAAATATCCAGGTTTACCCTATGATGCTGTATGTGAGCTGCTGGAAAGACCAGCGTGGAGACTGGAGGGAGCATGTCTGCAGCGTGGCCCTATTTCTGCTTGGTCTGGAACGGGATGGGGGTGTTGAAGGAAGGCGGTTTGTCTATTTGTAGTCTGAGTTCAACTTCTGTGAGAGAGTTTGGGATACATCATTAACAAACCCTGGTAGCGTTCAGCTTGCATAGCCTGCTGTAGCAGTGGTGCTGTCGTAGTGATTCTAAAAATGCAAGGAGAGGAGGTGGCACGAATGGAAAAGATAAGGATATACATTTGTCTAAGGGGAGATGAAAGGTGACAATGATGGCCTGTGGCTCTTAAAATTGTTATACATTACAGCAAAGATTTAAAGAATTTTTCAACTGATTTCAAATTTGTCTTTGTTCTGTCACCCCAAACTTGAAGTCATTTTACTAAACCACAGAAACTGCACCCAGTCAAGGCCTGGCCACAAAACTCAGTCATTTTCTGTCCTGTTCTATGGCCTGGGATTATTTAAACAAGGTCCTGGAGCTGTTTTGGCTGAGTCTTCATTAGCAGCAGCATGTGCAGATCCAGAATACTAACACATCTTTGCATCTTACCAAGTAAATTTGAAAGAGACAAAGCTTTGCACCAATATTTTGCTACTCTAGGACTAATGTTTAAACTTTGAGATATTTCTGAAAAAATATGTACTTAGCACAGACTTTTGCATGCAGTCAGCTTCTGGAAAACAAACCTCTCTCTCCAATGTCATGTTAAATGAGAATTTAGTTTGATTATTACTTTGTACGCAAAGCTTTCTCCCATGTAATGATGGAAGTCAAACAGTTTCTTGTGCCATGTTGTGTCATTGTAAGAGATAAACGAACAAAGCTTCTGAATCAGAGTCTTCAGAAGCTGGTGTAGGGTTTTTGCTGTCCTTCTCAGGCTTCAGCTCAAGCCTTTACATCATGTCCTTTTCCTTCGGGCACACTACCTCAGTGTAAGGAAACTTGTACCTTGAACTTCCCCAAATATTTCAGTGGTCGTTAATTTATAGAGGAGATACTTCATAGGAAGTTAGTTATTGGTGTCTTTTTATGTTAAAGGTAAACATGCTGTGACTTGTCTTTTTGTGCCTGTTAGGAGACTTGCACGGCCAGCTGGATGACTTGTTCCTCATATTTTATAAGGTAGGCACTGTATTTGGAGAGGGAGGCTGAACAGGTATTCTGAAAGTTATCGCATGTGTCATGCTGAGAAGTGTTCACAAAATTGGGCCCTTCACGTGCGATTCTCCAGGTTGATTTGATGGGTTTTAAATGGCTTCACAAAGCAGCAGCTTATTCCCATGCTGACTTTGAAATCTGATAAACACGTACATTTGGGAAGTGCCAGTGGACATTTTTGTAAGTGCTGATACCAATGGCAACCCTTCTTGACTCCACCTTTCGCTTTTCAGTGTTGTCACTGGGAGCCCTCAGGATAAAAATAAGAGTGAGGATCTATTGCATAAGGTAACCTGGGGCAGGAGTGAGAGAATGTGCAGCTGCTGAGGGGAGGTATATGGAGATCGTGGGGAGACCTCTCTTGTAACCTCTGCCTGTTCCTTCCTTTTACAGAACGGCCTTCCTTCCCCTTCCAAGTCCTACGTGTTCAATGGGGACTTTGTAGACAGAGGCAAACAGTCCCTTGAGATCCTCATTGTTCTCTTTACCTTCCTCTTGATCTATCCAAATGAGGTTCATCTCAACCGTGGGAATCATGAGGACCACATGGTCAACTTACGGTAGGGGTTCTGCGTGGGGCTGATTGCAATGTTGAGGGTGTCGCTGTGAAATCCCGCTGAACTTCCTTTCTCCTGTTCCTTTAGCTATGGTTTCGCCAAGGAAGTAATGCAGAAATACAAGGTAGGCATATGTTTATGTCTCCTCTACCACATGAGACACGGACTTCAAAGGCTTGATGCTTCATCTTTTCCTTTCTGACCTGTCCTCCTAGGTGCATGGGAAGAAAATCTTGAAGATGATTCAGAATGTCTTCTGCTGGCTGCCCCTGGCCACCCTGATTGATCAGAAAGTCCTTGTTATACATGGGGGCATTTCTGACACCACTGACCTGGACATGCTTGAGAAAATTCAGAGGAACAAAGTAGGTTTTATTTTCTAGATATTGCAAGAGACAACAGTGTTGCTGTTTTGTGGTGAGGAGCTTATTTCTACAGGTCAGCTTGGCTGTTGATGAGACAAATCTAAAGGATGGTTTTCCTAGACAAACTGTGTTTAGGTACAGTGGATCACTTTGGTTTAATAGTGTGTCTGCAGGTGGTTGGCTTCTGGAAGATATAAGGATCGTAGGCAGGGAAGTGGTTGGTAATGGCACGGGTAAATAGATGTGCTAGTGCTGACAGAAAAAACATGGTGATGATGAGAATTTGTCCCACAGTTCCTTAGTTCTGGTTGAGAAATACTACTTCCCTTCTCCATATGTAATGGACAAGATTAAATCCATGTAATCTACCTTTTGTGAAATGTCTGAGCAGCATAAAGTCAATGAAGAAGAGACAGATCTGTGGTCAGGATGGATGTAGGGCCCCAGCAGTAAACCAAGAACGGCACATCTGAGAGCATGGCACTGGTGATCTCCCACAATTAATCAGCATTTGATGTCAGCAAAGGGAACTGAGGCTTGGAGGCTTGAGTCAGTTGACAGTCTGCCGACGGAAGATATCTGAGCTGGAGATGTAGGTTTCCAAGTGGTGTGACCAGCTCTCTTTTCTCTCTTACCTCTTTCAGTTTATTTCTGTATTAAGAGGGAAGAAAAGAAGGGAGTCGAATAGAAATGTGGAAATACAGGAAATAAATGGGGAGAGCAAAGTGGAGGCCGACCCAGCAGGGAATGAAGCAGCCCCCAGTTTGTCTGCACAGCCCCGGCCAGCCCAGGCTCCCAGCATGGCCAACAGGCTGGAGTTCTCCAGGTGGGTCCGGCAGACGGTGCAGGAGCAAATTGAGCGGTGCCGCCAGCTGGTGGACATCAGCGAGTCGGAGGAGGAGGAGCTCACCTATTCCAGCATGGTCTCCTTGACGGATTTGGATGGGCCGTGCTGGACTCGCCAGGAGGAGTGGAAGCAGGTGAGTAGTCTAAGCGGGGCCTTGAGCTCGGTGGGCTGTTGGTGCCTGCTGCAGGTTTCTTCCCTGTTATGAGGAATCTCAGTACAAAATATGTGGGTCAGTGAACAGAACTCTCTGCAGAGAGATTTTTTTGCTGCTTCGTATAGTGGAGGTAAGGAGCAATGCAGTGCTGAAGTGCCAGCAGGCAAGCTAACAGGGCTTGTGGTATTTTGTGCCTGCTGCTCTGTACCCTGAGACAGCCTGGCATTGATCTCTCAGTGATAAATGGTCAGAAAGGGCTGTACTGTGAGCATGTGATCTCTGCTGCTTGGGGATGTTTCATTAGATACCTGCGCTACATCCAGCCCATCCTGTGGCATCGTTCTCTAGCAATTGAAGAGCTGTGCACGAGAGTCACATAGGAGAACGCAGGCTGTGTGCAAGACTGGCGCTAGCTGCTGTTCTGCTGGCCTTTCTCCTACCCTTGTGAGGCATCCTTTTCACTGGGATTTCAGCTTTCTGTGCTCAAGGCTGTCCCAGCGTTTGCCCCCAGCACAGCACTCATCCATTGTTGCATAAATAAAACTGCTGCTCAGGCACAGAGTGGGGCAACAGGTTTTCTTGATTCACTGCAGGGAAGAGAAATAATAGACAGGACTGATTGTAGAGCCCAGCGGTTATATCGCTTACTGTGTACGTGGGGTATCTGAAGTCAGCTCTATAGGTCATGGACAAGCACGTCATTTGCTGCTGAGTGAGTCGTGATCTTGGGTACTAAGCAGACTGAAGTTGTGGTTTTAGCTGGGCTGCACTGCAAGTAGATTGCTAGGCAGGTCAGAGCCTGGGAACTTGGTTTCCTGTTTGTGTTAGACCAGTCTGTCTGTAAGCCCCTTCTGTGCGCTCCGAAACCATCGTTACTTACTTCACATTACATAGGACATCCCAGCATTCCACGCCTTATCAGCATAAAGCTATATATTGAGGTCAGGGTTAAAGAGATTGAACTTTAATCCAAATAGTGGTTACTGACTCAGCATTTACTTACATTTCTGGAGGCTGTGGAATGTCCTGGCTAGAGAGCAAAGGAGTTTAATACTAAGCCTGTTCATAGCCTCAGGATCTGCTCAGTGTTCTTGCCCTGGGACCTGTGTTTTGAGATGGAGGAGGACAGGCAGGGCTCTTTGAAATCTTAGAGGCAGCAAAGGGAAAGCTTGAATCAGGCCTGATTTATGGACACCCCTCTTCCCCCAGGCACTTTAGGTGTGCCTGTAGCTCCAGGCCAACAACATTGTCCCCTCTGTGGTGAGCCAGGTCTGTGACAGTCCTGCAGAGCAGTTTGGTGGTTCAGCTGGGATGCAGGACACACCTCTCTTTCCCTGCACTGTGGTAACAGCAGCAGTCCGGGGAGGGATTCAGAGAGCAAGCTTTATTTCCTTAGTAAACTTTGATGGGTGATATCTGCTGGGTACACTTTATTCAGTGAACTTTCCGATCCTTTCAGATTTTAGACATTCTCTGGAGTGACCCCATGCCTCAGGAGGGATGCAGAGTAAATACGGTGCGAGGTGGTGGCTGCTACTTTGGGCCTGATGTGACAGGGAAGATCCTTGAGAAGTATAACTTGCAGTTCCTCATCCGCTCCCACGAGTGCAAGCAAGAGGGCTACGAGTTCTGTCACAACCGAAAGGTCAGTGAGGGGGATTGCGTGAAGGATACTTGGGTTTCCATCCTGCCAGGCTGGGGTTTCTGTGGTGGCTTGTCTCAGCTCTGCATTTCTTCCAATGGGCCTTTGTTAAGTACATAACAAAATCATTTAACAGCCTTATTGGGAGTTACTGAAGTGTGCTCCCAGCTGAAGTCTTAGGTCAGGACAGTCTGGAGCCACCCACTCTGTTGGGGGCATCTGTTGTGCAGGCAAAGCACGTCCTTGTGCGTGGTAGCTGAGAAAAGATCTGAAGCCATTGGCCCCACTTAGTGCAGCTGTTTCTGAGGATGACATACAAAAGGGTGTTACTAAGCTGCTGCAGCAAATTTTTGCTCTCTGAAGATTCAGGGTCACTTCAGTGACTTCAACAGGGGCATTTTTGTCTCCGCTCACTGCAGTGAAGAGTGGAAGTTTGTCAGGAGAGTACAGTGAAATTGCCGAAGCCCAGCGTGTGGCCAGATGAGACCAGTGCTGCCCTCGAGGAGCTCACACCAGTAAGGCTTCCAGGCCAGCCACCACCTCACTCTTGCTTTTCCACATAAAATATGATGCTTTACAGTCTGTTGATTCCAGATGGGGTTGGTTGTGTTGTTTTCACTGATACATGTATATATAATATAGGATGTATGTACTGACTGTAAATGCCTTTCTTTTTGGGGGTTAGGTGCTGACCATATTTTCAGCCTCAAACTACTATGAGATTGGCAGCAACAGGGGAGCCTATGTGAAGCTGGGACCGGACCTCGTCCCCCATTTTGTTCAGTACCAAGCAAACAAGACAGCCCATACTCTCACTATGACCCAAAGGCAAGACTTTCAGTTGCTCTGTATTCACCAAGTCAAAATTGTGAAAGGGAAAACTTTGGGAGCTTTGAGAAAGTTTGACTTCAGAGCGGAGCTTTCACAGCTTGATTTACTAAATAATAGTCTAGAGGAGGATTCAAGCTTTGGCAGAAATTACTGAGGTAGGCCCAGGGGTTGAGGAGGGAGTGTTACAAGATCAGAAGGGAACTCTTTTTTACAGACTGCTGATTTTCCAGCTTCTCTTTTCAGTATCAAGTTTTAACTGTTGACCCTTGCTGAGGTTCCCTTCTGCTTTGTTATTTCACAAATTGAAGCAGGAATTCACTGCATCAGCTGTGGGGAACTGTGCTCCAGGCATGCAGTGCCTTGTTACAAGCACTGAGATGCAGCTGTAGCTGTGCAGAGCAGTTGTGTGAGGGTCTGGGCAATCCATGGACAGGCCAGAGGACTGGGAAGGTCCAGCTTCTCTTGCGCTTCGTGGCAAGTCCTTAACGTGCTTCTCTCTTTTCTGCGTCCTCCAGAATCAGCAGAGTAGAACAGTCAGCCTTTCGAGCCTTGCGGGAAAAGCTCTTTGCTCACACCTCAGCCCTCATCAGCGCGTTCAAGGCCTATGATAAGGACAATACAGGTAAATCTGAGCCAAGGGACACTCAGGCTAATTCCCTGGTAGGAGAGGGTTGAAGCGGCTACGTTTAGTGTGTGGCTGGTTGGGAGACTCCTCACTGATAGTTGTCAGCGATGGTCGCAGCGGGAGGCGGTCAGACCTTGCCAGGGCATTGGTCCCATTTGCTGTTACTCAGTGTCTCTGCTGGGAACCTGTTAATGCCTCAGAGTGGCATTATGATGAGGGGGTGTCGGAGAAGCAAGAGGTAATTAGCCTAATGTGTAGCAATTTAGGCTTGGTACTAGGAGAACCCTTTGGAACAGGAGTATCAATGAAGCACTGGAAAAGATGACCTGGAACGTGTCTGTCGTGTCATTTGGGAAGAGCTGGGTGGTCTCTAGAGCCCTTTCATCCCTGCAGTCTAAAATCACTGGGAAGAGGAAAGCAAGGGATGTCCTCCGTGGCAGCTGCCTCTGTCAGAGCCTTAAGGAAGGAGCTGAGAGTTCATAATTCTCTGGCTGACAGGAGTGCTGTGCTGGTGCAGTGACCAAGACATGTTGCTGAGATCTGTCCATTTGTGGGCCGAGGGAGAAAAGGGACACAGCGGTTGGCAGAACTGCTTGCTTGCTTTCTTCCCTGGCAGCAAAATTGTTCACAAAAGTCCAGTTCAGCTGATACAGCAGCTGCTAAACTAGGGGCTTTTCGGTGTTGCTGGGTCACTGAGGAAGTACTAGTGCAGTTGTGTAGGCCATGGTCTGCAGGGTGACAGGCTGTAGGCCCCCAATTTATAATGAAATATCCAAAGTTAGTGTCTTCCTGTTGTTCACGTTTGCAGGCCCATGGCCCTGATTTATCGCAATGATCAAAAGCTTGCTGAGGCTGGGGGGAGCAGCAAGTGTCTTTGTGCCTGCAGTGGCTGATGTCTGTACAGCCACGTTGGGTTTTTCCTGTACCGAAGTGCTCAAGTGTGCCATGGAGAAATAACGCTGTTGCTGCCAGCAGTGTGGTAGACTGGGTGTGTGTACTGCTCTAGGCTTTTTGCTTTGCCTTCATGTGCTTTCAGCTGCCCATTTCTCAGAGGTCTCCTTGGCTCTCCCTTCTCCTTACAGGAAGGATCACGCTGAGCAACTGGGCAACGGCAGTGGAGTCAGTCTTGCACTTGGGATTGCCCTGGCGAATGCTGAGACCGCAGCTGGTGCGCAGCACGGCAGATGGCATGCTGGAATACAAGTCCTGGCTCGACGACTTGGCCATGGAGCAGCGGAGCCAAGAGGTAAGGACTCACCCACTTCCATCAAAGCACGATGCAAAGCAGCTCACCAGATCTCCAGCACATGGAACCAAGTACGGTATGAAAGGAGAGTGGATAGTTTCTGTATAATCCAAAATCATACTGAAGTCGATGGAAAAAGCTTGCATGAATTCAAGTAGTCCCGAGGCATTCAGTCCATTGCAGAAATAGCTGATGCATGTGAAATCAAAGCCTAGAGGTAGTTTTGGATGCAGACTTTTGAGTAGGAAAACTATATTCCATTCTCTGAGTCACAGTTTCTTTCACAGTCCAGTAAAACCAACTCTGCAATTGTTAAAAAAACATAGCCCAAGTCGCTGTCTTCTCTGTTAGCCCGGAAAAGCTCTGTTTGGAAGCAATAGGTTGCTGATGTGCAGAATTGCAGAGAGGATCCAGTCATCACAAACGTGCATTGCTGGCAAACTCTTGAGATCAGTAAACATTTTTATTTGTGCGAGGGTCTGCAGTAACTGCTCAGAGAAAGCAGAGAGCTGTCAGAAGGGTGGAAGGAGTGTGACCATGTTGTCTTTCAGCACATCCAGTCGAGCTTGCTGGAAGTCATTTATCGAAACAGATCCAACTTGGAGACCATATTCAGGATCATAGACAAAGATCATTCAGGTAAGCAGGTGTGCAGGGGGTGTTGGCCATTGCTTTGTATTCCATTCTACTTTTGGGCTCCCTTTAGTATGCACAAAGGCATTTTTATTTCATGGTTTCCACAAACATGATGCATTTTGAAGGACTGTGTGCAGTTCAGACAGAGAATTAATAATTATTTGTCCT